ATAATAATATAATAAATATAATTAATTTATTACACGCTTAATTTCTCTTAAGATACGATAATTGTATGCATTTTAAATTATAAATTTTAAAATTTTAGAGAAATTTTATAATTCGTTTTTACTTGTAAACTTTACCATTAAACAACTCTTGTTATAATTTATATATTTTATGGATATAATATTAACATTTATAGTAAAATGACGAAGAAAACTATGTATAATTTCAAAATTAACGTCTCTCGAGGGATTGGTGAATGAAACTTCATAATAGAAACAAAATATACTCGAATCTATTATAAAATTCATGACTTTAACTTCATCCTATAAATCATTTTAATAAACGTAAACATAATATATAGCTGATAAGCAAACCGTATTGAAGATACTTTTAAAAGATTATAAAAGTATAAACGGTCGAAAAAAATTAAATTTTATAGGCTATATGTTAATTTTCTAAATGAATTGCGTGAATATTTAATTATAATTCTTTATTTAACAGCATAAATTCGAGTTCTGCCTTGGCGTAAACAAATGCAGAGTTATTATTCTCACTTCAACTATCCGTCACCATAAAAATATATATAAAAACCCGTTATTTGTTAGATAAATTTCTCCTCTATGGTTCTGACAATAAAACAATCGCTCAAATGCCATATTAGTTGATAAATTGCGTCAATATGTCAAATGCAATGATTACTTCTTTGCTGGTTTTCCCCAAGAGTCTTTCGACTTAAGCCCTATGTCAACGACTGTATTGATATATGTGCAGATGATGGCGACATTTCATAGCAATGGTGTAAATAATCGCCAGGAATTGTCACTCTAACTAAAGCAACGTTTCGTAATTAATCCTGTTTAAGAAAACTTTGTCATTAAATTTCGTTTAATCATATTTTCTTATATTACTTTTTTAGCCTATATATTTACACTTTTTGTCTTTGATATATATAATATAATTCTAAATGCATTAAAAATTGTTTTTAAAATATTCCTGTTTGAAAATTTAATACGTCTTTCTTAGAGCGTTAAAAATTAAAGAAAGAAAGAAATTCTAGTAAAAGTCTTAACAAACAACAATAGAATATAAGCCCTAAAAACTATGAATTAATCAACATTTAGAATATTGCAATTCAATTATTCATTATACTGTAATATATTATAGAAGATAAATTATATATTAATACAATACCTTTGAGAAATGAAGACAAAATGTAATAAAATTTAAGAGCTCATAAATATAAATGGTCATCTATCAAAAATGTAACATGAAACATACAAAATATTTGAGAAGAGGAAGTAATAGTATACATATTTACGACTAATTCTCTCTCTACTTCCTCAAGTAACCATGTTTTTCCAATAGGTTTTTTTATGGTTGATATTTACCTTTTCTATATTGAATATTTTATTGTATTTTTCTTATTTTGTATCAAATATTAATTGATTAATATGAATATAACATATTATTTCTTTAGTATTTACACAAAATTAATTTGCAAGTTTTTATTCTGTTAAGTTTAACTTAATTATATTTTCTCCGTCGTTTCTAAAAACTATATTTTAAATTTATTATGTTTATTATATTATGTTTTGTTTAAGCTGTAAATGATTTGTAAACACACTATAATACATAAGCATACTTGACATTATTCAATACCTACGTCGTATGTATTTTACAACACTGATTAAACATTAAATATATAAGCTTTAATATTTTTACTGTTATTTTACATTTATATTTAATTTCTATAATTATTTTATTATTTATGATATTATTAACAATTAAACCCCAGAAAAATTATATTTAAAATATTTTTAAAATTTCTGTGCATAATAACAATTCATAAATCTACAAATTAATTATATAAATTATAAAAGTAATTGGTCATAAACTTCACATAAATATTTAATATACATATATTTTTTAAATCTTTGACTCAAAACTTCAATCTGAAAGCATTTAAGCAAAAGTTTTTAATTAGGGATTAAACTTTAGTATTAACTAAAATTAATATTTTTAAAATTTATAATTTTATTTGAAATTAATTTAGATTAAATACATTTACCTGTATTAATGTTAAATTAAGTTTACTTTTTAAAATAAATAAATTTATAAAAATATTCTTTCAAACTTTATATTACTATATTAAAATTTTTTAGATTTCATTATTATATATATATCATGTTTAAATTTTATAATATATATAAAAACTAATTTTTTTAATAAAAAAAAAATAACGCATAAATTTATTTATTCATCTATTTTAACAAAAATTGTTTAAACTTTCAGATATTATCCAATAAAATTATATTTATTTAATTATTTAACTAGAAATTTTGTTTTCATACTTTAAACGTGAAGTTTTCTTTAAATCTAAATGTCAATGTTTATTTAAAACATTAAGAACTTAAAACAAACGTTAATTGGTTTATAATTATCATTAAGAATGTTTAGAAAACGTGTGGAAGAATCCAATTAAAACATTCATGAACACAATGTCTCAACTATCCACTAATGTTTCAAATTTTAGCACAGTTTTATAATCATAAATGATGTAGTTTTATAAAAAAAAAATCATAATAAATCTCTCTCTCCCCTAAGCAAAAAGAATATTAAAAGTAAAAATAAGAAATTGGCTCGGAGGAAATAATAAATAATTATTTTTCTTTTCTTAATTTATTGATTTGATGCAGCATGTTCAACGCGATGTAAAAAAGTGAATGTACNTATTTTATAAATTTCAGCTTGTTAGAAAAATGCGACAAGTTAAAAATAATTTAATTTTTAAAGATAACGTCAATAATAAACTGTTGTTAAACTTGTTATAATTTGTCAAAAGAAATAACGTCTCTAATTTTTAAATTCTTATGCATTCGATAGGAATAAAAAAAAGAAGAAAAAGAGTAACATGTTGCAAACAATCAAAACATTTTATTTTTTACTTTTCTTTTTTAATATTTACAAAAATTAACGAACGTTCCTTAAAAACAAAAGTAAAATATAAAGAGAAAAATAATTCAATAATAAAATTTAAGTACTAGGAGTAGGCTATATATATATGAAAGAAACCAAAAGGATGAGTTATTTGACATTTTGAAAACTAAAGTACTGAACAGAAATAAAATAGTCTGCACCAGATGGCGCTAGAGATAAAAATAAAACTAAAGAAACTGCTATTTGGCTATCTGCTTCAACATCTGCTGATGACAAACATAATTCCTTTAACGGTCAACAATTTTGGGCCAAATTTAAATTTTAAATGGATCTTGTAAAAACAACAACTACACACATTTTAACTTTTCATTAATTATTCGAAAATAAAAATAGCATTCTCCCCCGACTTCGGTGATTTTATCTATATTATGAGAAGAACAACAGATGAGATAATTTTATTGATATAAATAGCGCATGTAAAAAAAAAAAAAATAGGAAATTCATCAACCCTCCACCATTTTTTATCGATAGGATTAAATTAATTACAACAGAGATAATATAAACTTTCGTAAATAAATTAATAGCATACAATAACAGAAATGATTTTTTTAAAGGTATCATCCAATTTTTGTTGGAGAAAAGGAGGGAAAAAATTAAAAATTTAATTAATCTTTCACCTGCTTATCGGTTTGTAATCTATAAAAATTTTTATTATGTCAAGGAAAAAAATCAGCCGTTATGCGCCTGGAGTGACTGCTGTTTAAAGATTTTTTTTTTCATTCAAAGCTTTAAGTTTTTTTACGGTTTTTCTGTTTACAGAATTGTGACGGTTACAAGAAATAATATGTTTTAGGGCAATAAAGTTGTGTCTGTTATTGATTTCATTGGAATGAAACTATTGAAAGTTTTTAGTACAAGGCTGTTGTATATAAAGTAGAATACTGAATCTATATATAAAAACACCTTTTATGTGCGAGCGCAGTTTAGAAAAATATCCATTTTGAAATATTAATGTAGAATCATCCAATAAGATAAAGAAAACGGTAAAATATGTATAGTTTATATCTTCTGCTAAGAAAATTTTCTCAAATGTGTTTACAAAATGTAGTTTTATTTTTTCTTTCAACTTACCGGCGGTTAATCGTATGGCGGTACTAATGACTGTACCTAGGGAATTAGATGCCGAGCAATGGATAATTGTGCTGTGCACGTCTTGTCGATAAGAACGAGCAGAAAATGGCGGAAAATATAACGTTCCGTTAGACAGAACATGACGTAAACCTTGGATCCTAGTGACGTCAGTCCCATCCGTCTTTATCCAGCGGATGATTGGTGTTGGATTTCCACGAGCAGAACATGTAACGAGAGATCCTGTGCTGTTGGTGAACTCGACGACAAGAGGTGGTTGACTTGTTATCTTTGGTCCTTCTCTGGTATCACGTCTGATGGAAACTGTAACAAAATACAGTGCTTTATTAGGATAAAGTAAGATTTGAGTTCTATATCACATATAAGGAGGGAAACGTATAGTTTATAAACAAACATTTTTTCTTATGACCTACTTTGATAAATATATTATCACAACCTGATATTAATTTTTTTTTTAATTTTTAAATTCATTTTAAAAGAAATCCCCATTTTACTCTTAATGTAAAAAGTTAAAATATATATACATAAAAAAAACAATACAATTAAATCGTTAATTAATAAAAAATTAAAGTTGCTAAAATATTTAACTTCATAAAATGAAAATAAGGTACAAAATTAAAGACATTGTATTTGTTCTTATAATTTATTTACTGATTAATTGAAATATTAGTTTTAATTATATTAAAAATTTCTAATGCGGAAAAATTTACATAAATTTAAAATTTCGTAAATTAAACAATGTTAAACTATAGTTTTTAAACAACACAAGCCAACAAATTAAATTATAAGTTTCGTTTTTTAATTAATTAAATTTTTAAAAGTTTTTAAATAAAATATTCTTCATAAGAATAATAAAGAGACAAAAATGCTGAGTAAAATAAAGTAAATTAAATATATAAAAGTTATTTATAAATGTTTATGATAATTTAAAATTTAATATTTAAAATCAAAATAGGAAAGTTATTCACTTTATCGCAACAAATTGTTATTGTATTTTAAATAAATAATCTTAAAAAATGTAAAAAATTTAATAAATACGTAATTTTAAAACAAAGTTAATGATTTAACTTTTATGTAAGTGATATTATAATAACAGCATCGCTATAAAATTTGTATTTCTTATTTGTTTTTTATTTATTTTTATAATAATTAAGCATAATATTAATAAATGTAATGAATAAATATCTTAATTAAATGTTAAGTCATTTGTAAATAGGTTAATTTAAAAATAAAGTAAAATAAATTTTGAAATAAAAAAATTTTACACTTTGATTTGCTCCTGTAAATCAGGTTTCTCTGCCAAGTTAGATAGTGAAGAGGAAAAGCAAAGCAATCAGTAAATAAAATGTAGTGAGATAAAAATAAATATTAAAATATAAATATTAATTAATTCCCGGATTAAATTAATTAAATATAATTTAACTTGAAATAACACAGTTCGCTGTATTTAATTTAAAGTTTAGCTACAAATAACTTTTTTAAATTATGTTTTGACCTATAAAATGAAGTGAAAATTGGATCAAAAATTTATTCGGGTATTAAAATAAATATTTTAAATTGATTTAATTAAAAATTCTTTTGTATTTTGCTCTATTATCCTATTTATATTGTTTATATAACTATAACACCCTTCCTTCATTAGAATATTCAAACTGATACTGCTAAATTGCAAATTCAATTTATTCATAATTATTCATGGTAACTAATTCTATTAAATTATTNAAACTTGTTTTCTGTATAAGAATTCAATAGTTTCTCTTGGGACAAACAGCAACAGTCTAACATCCTAATCTTTTATTTAATTTAAATTTCGAAGAACATTTAGGTTTATAAAAGTTATTTATTTTAAATCATCATTCAGTTTACATTTAATTCTCTAATGGCTCAAAAGTAATAGTATTTCTCTTTGTTTTCTATGGAAAACAGATTATGTATAAGTAGAAATTTTCAAAATTAGCAGAGAATTAAAAGTTATTTTCTTGACAGAATTGCTTAATAATTATAACAGAAATTATATAGCAATAAAAACAAATAAATGTCTATAATGCACTAGATAAGCCTTTGTTTCTCTTATGTAAACAGCCATCTAAATGTTAATATTGATCGGATTATGCTAGATTCGTCATTTCCTATCGCTCCTTGGAAACAAGCTAATTGTTTTCCCGGAAATAAACAGATTTAAAAAAAAAAACTACATAACTTTGAAAAAAAAATCTTAAAAATTCGAAATGGAATATCTGGGCTATCACATTTTATTGCGAATATTTGAAATTCGATTTACTATAAAATATCAAAATTTATTTTTAAATCTGAATTGATTTCAAATATATTTTAAAGGGAAAAATTAGAATCACTCGAGAATAAAATATAAAAAAAAATATTCTAAGGTATTAAATGAAAGATTTTAAAATCTAAAATAAACTTTTCTCTAGTGTAATCTTATAAAAACGCACTATTTAGAAAATCACGTTTAAATTTCTTTGTTGAATTTTATTCTCATAGGATATAAAGTGTATATAATACATCATATAATGGGATTTAATGTTAGAAAAGTATCTTAAACACTATACAAAGTTTGAAAAACTTGGTTTTAATATTTGCGCTATAATTTCAAACTTTTCGCTATTAAAAAAATAGAATTAACGTTTTTGTAACTATAGCAGATTCTAGTAAATAAATTAAGATTCATCTAAAAATAAATTTTAATATTTTACGAGTCGACACCAGTGAGTGAAGAATAAACATTTTTAAGCAAGAAAGTGTTTTCTAGCAACCCAAAGAAAAGTAAGACAGTGTGTAACTGGAATTTCACACTCTGCTGAACACTCGAATCTAGGTTCTTCAAATTACCCTGAATTTCTGCTCCAAGAGAGTTTGAAGCTATCTAAGCTTGATCGTTAAACGTCTAAGCGACGCCTTTGCTTTACGCCATTCCAGTCTTACTGCAAAGAGAACCATTTTAATTACTGTCTGAAACATAACGATCCCTGTTCTTTTCCCCTAAATGTTCTTTAAACATTTGCTAAGAAATTCTGTGATATTAACTAAAGAAGTATTCCTAAAAATAACTCAAAGAATCCTTATTAAAATTTAATATCGAGAAAACCGTTCTTCATTAAAAAGAATTATAAAGAAAAAAAATATATATCATTTAAATTTATTCAGTGCCATTTGTAAGAAAAATATTTATTTTATATTCTTATAATGTATAATAATTTTTTTGGCATTTTAAAATTTATTTATCTATAAACTTAACAGAATAAAAATGCTATTTTTGTATTATTTGAAATTTAAATGTTTGTCGAATAAATGTAGCAAAAAATTAATGTTTATTTTTTTAATTGTGACAGGATAATGTCCTTTAAAAAATAAAATAAGTAATACAGTTTCTTAATGAACACAGAGAGAACTCATCAATAAATCCTCTCTCTCATCTCCAGAGTTGTGAAAGCCACAGGCAAAATTCTGATAAATCATCTATAGTATATATTAAATGAAAGAGCTCTGGGCATTGCAGATATCTAATTAAATAATTCTCATAAGATTTTATATATCTACTATGTATCGGCTACTTGATTTATTCAATTAAAATTAAAATTCTTAATCCTTCATTAATAAATTATTTGCCATTGGAAATCTCATTTTCGAAACTTCTAAAAGAAAAGAAAAATAAATTATTTATAAAAACATTATTTAATTTTTAAAATAACACAGTTTTAATTACACAAAAGAATAATTTAGTAGTTGTAACAAAAATTAATTTTTTTTTATAAATGAGAATATTTATTCTTTTAACAGATTTTAATTAGCTTTAATATTGTTATTTTAGGGAATAAAAATATAACCCTTACCTTATTATTTAAATAAATAAGTTTAATTCGAATAAATTTTTATGACATATTTAAAATGTAAAACATTATATTAGTATGAAAATTATTCTTTTAAGTGCTTAATTATGCATTTAACGTTAATAACTTTGCATTACATTTATGCATATTAACGATAGGAAATGCGAAAATTTCCGCTTTATATCACGCCTTTATTCCTGTTTACAACTTTCTAAAACTTTATACGTACGTATGATATATTTAAATCATTAAATATCGACAAGAACAGAATTTATAAATATAATTTCAAATGGATAAATGAGAATCCAATATACGAATAAGCATAAATCTAATTTTAGATTATAATTAAGATCAACTATTGCCAAACATATCGAATTTGAAAATTAAACATCGCATAAATTTGTCAACAAACTTAATCAAGAGGTTAAATGCTATTTTCTGACGATTTAATTGACAACTTCCCAATCACCTGGTCATAAATATCTTCTACAGTACATTAATAGCGAGTAGAACTTAAGAATAAGCATAGATCTCATTACCTCAATTCTCTGTTTGTAAAGGAATCTCTTTGTCTTTGTACGTAAAAGACTTCCTTAATTATCTGCAATCGATGTGGCTCAGATGTTACATTCATCAAAAGTTCTCCGATATTCCTAAACTTGTGCAACATTTCTACCCCACATTTGTCTATCGAGAATCGATGATGTTGTATACAAAAATTAATCGATAAATGAAGAAAAAAATGCCCTTTTTTTGGTTATATTTCAGTATTATTTAATAAGCAAGGAGTGTTAGTATCTTCTTTATTGATCATGAGATTGTCACAATATCTTTTATTAACAATAGAAACGATACAAAATTCGATAAATGGAAACGTATACTTGTACATGTGTGTTTATACCGCAAATGTCGTGTAATAGTTAATTTAATTTAACGGTAATGATTAATTCAATTTATCTTTGATTATTGCTCTTTTTTTTCGATGAAAAGTCATCACTCGGCTGAGAAATTACTGTCTACAATTTTGTTCTTTTCGTTGATTATTGTATAACTAAGTATAATCTAGACAATGTAATTTAATCTGACAAATTCCATCTGAAACTTGTTTTCTGTATAAGAATTCAATAGTTTCTCTTGGGACAAACAGCAACAGTCTAACATCCTAATCTTTTATTTAATTTAAATTTCGAAGAACATTTAGGTTTTAATTATTTAATATAATTCTCCATAATAAATTATAAGATTATTTTTATATAAGCATATTAATTGCAATCCTTATTAATTTTCTCTGAAAATTTATCCGTAAATTGTATGGTAGAATTATGTATTTTATATTAAATTAACGTATTTATAAAAACAAAAATTAAAATCCCGAAACTTTAGCAAATAATTCTAATTAATATTTTAATATATATACCACATATATAATATGCTATTTTTTAAAGGAAATGAATA